TGAAGTCTGTTAAAGTACATTATTTTCTTTTTTAAAGGTTTTTGCCATAGAACATGTGCACTCACTGGGAAGAGAGCAAGAGCCCAGGAGAGGAAAAGTGAGAAGGCACCCCAGCAGACGTGGATGGCCACATCACAATCCCTTCTCCTCCATTATCCTTTCAGGATTTTGAGCATGCATACACATGTGCCTGGTGTGATTTTCAAGCCACCTGATCTGGGACTTGAACTGCAGTTGGTCATGTGGGAGTCCAGTGTATTCACCACCATGCCACCTGCTGGCCCCTAAAGTACATTTTTTTCAGAGCACTGATACTTGACTTCTTTCTGTCATGGATTCTTTTGAGAATTATTTGAACGTTACTGACAACCCTCTCCACATAAAACTGCATATGTGACTGTGACATACACACAACATTCTGCAAACAGTTCTAGAAGGTTCGATAGATCCTATTTTGGAGCCAGCCCTGTAGCACAGTGGTAAGTGTAATGGTAAAGGGAGTCAGGCCCTACATGGTCAGCTGCAGTTTAAATCCTGTCCTTGACAGTGTGAAAAACATGCTGGGCACATGTGCATGCACCCCAAGTCCCAGCTAGCTGGAGAAATGGAGGGAAAGGGATTGCAGCATGCCCATGCCCCCCTTTAGAGGTGTTTTCACCCTTTCTCTCTCTCTCTAGGGAGCCCACATGCCCTCTGACAATAAAACTATTTTGACCTTACCCAAGACAATTCTAACATAGAGTATGCTTTCCTAAGCCTAATTTCATAGTGAAATTTAAGTATCCCATTGAATTAGGAACAATTTCCAAGTTCCAGGCAAAATTAAAGAGACTTTCCTCTATAACGAAGAATTTATATGGCACCCTCCTAAGACTTAGGGGATCTATGGTACTCTAATTGCTCTTTATATAGGTTTCAACACATAGACATGTCTTTCAGCAATGGTCCTGACCAACCCAGGCAGTTTCCAACAAAGACAATGAGGAATGCAGACATGCAGTTCCGGAAAAGATAGTAACAGAAGTGCAGTGTGAGGTGGAGATGGGCCTGGATGGAAAAGAGATATGATTCTGGAAGGGACCCAGAATGAGGTAGAAAGATTCAGAGAATCTTAACAGGACACAGAAAGACAAAAATAGAAGCAGAAACATGCTGTTTAGAGACCCTCTTGTAAATAGTCAAGATAAACTTCAGTGAAGGAGGTATTGACTATTGAAATAAAGGTGTAAGGGAAAAAGCACAGACATTGGCATTAGACTGCACTGTGTTCCGAGTATGCATGTTCCTGGTTGATTTATTTAATAACTCTAAGCCCCAGTTTCCTAAATATAAGATAGATGCAGTAATGACACCTTTCTCACAGGCTTCCTGAAATAAGTTAATGTAATAATATGTGTAAAGTGTTTAATATAGTAACCAGATTACAGGAGGGGCTCAATAAATGGTAGGTCTCTTCTTATTTCCATTTAAGAACTGCTTCATTAACAATTATCGAATACCTACTTTGTGTAAGGTACTGTGGCATGAATAAAATATTAAATAGTTGATCCCTCAAGGAGTGGGGAAAGTTAGCTGGAGATACAGATATATGAATGAAATAAAACAGAATGTTCTGGAAGCAAGCAGTGGTTGAGGTGATAAATGTGCAAATGGGAGAACTTCTAAGTTTCTAGGCACAGATGGTCATATTCATTTCATAGGGGAAATTGGAAAGAGGAGTGGGTTTTGTTGTTGTTGTTATATGAGGGTAGTAGGAACATAGGAAGTTCATTATTCACATGTTAAATTTGAGCATCAGAGGGATAGCAGGTGGAGCTATCTAAGGCAATATTCCTGCCTTGAGTAGAAGTTAGACGTTTTCCTCTCTATAGTCTCTTTTAATTCCTTTTTTATTTTTTTTAAGAGAGAGAGAGAGTGATTTTTGCTACAGGTTGTTTATGCTCACTGGAGATAGACAGAAAGTGAGAAACCACTCCCCACCCCCTCACAGTGGGGATGGCCATACCACAATTCCTTCTCCTCCATTCTCCTCTTGGGATTTTGGGTGGCTATGCAAGCATATGCACCCAGTGTGAGTTTTAATCTGCCGGGTCTGGGACTCAAACCATAGTCGACCACATGGGGTTCAGCATCTTAACCACTATGCCACCTGCTGGCCCCTAGAGTCTCATCCATTTCTAAGATTATATGATGTATGTACATTTTAGTTGTTCCCTTTGCCCCCCCTTTTATAAGACATGGTCTCACTGTGTCACAATCCTCCTGTCTCGGCCTCCTGAGTAGCTGGGATCACTGGTCTATACCACTGTTCCTGGCCTTGATGTTGAACTAGGAATCTAATCCATGATTCCCAGTTGGTCCCAGTTTGTGGAGCATACTGTCTTAGCAGTGTCCACCCTGAGACCTGAGTGTACTTTTTCATTTCATTTTTTAAATGAATTATTTGTTCAATTTTATTTATTCATTCATTTTAATTCAACTAGAGAGAGAGAGAGAGAAAGAAGGCTAGAAAGCAAGCCACCAGGTCCAGGGCCCGCACTGTGGTTGGTCATGTGGGAGTATCCAGCACTTTAATCACCACTCCACCTGCTGGCCCCATGTACTTTTTTAATTTTTATTTTTTGAGAGGTTTTCGCTATAGGGTATGCACACTCACCAGACAGACAAAAAGAGACATAGAGACAGAAAGCGAGAAATCACCCCCCAGGGGAGATGGTCACACTGCAATCTCTTCTCCTCCATTCTCCTCTCGGGATCTTGGGCACACACGCACACACGCCCAGCGTGAGTTCTAAGCCACCGGGTCCAGGACGCGAACTGTGGTCGACTACGTGGGAGTCCAGCGACATAGCCATTATGCTAACTGCTGGTTCCCCCATGTACTTTTTCATTTCTATAGGTGAACGTTTGTGGTTGCTTTAAGCTAGAAAATACTGGTCAACAATTTTCAAGCACTTGTAAATTATACAATAAAAATTCTACACTTCTCAGTTTTTTTTAAAGTGATTATGCAAAACATCTGAACCTACTAAACCAACTGAAAGTGATTGCTTTACTAAAAAGATTCTTCCATGTTTACAGCCCGATTTCCTATAGATTTCCATTAAATAGCTTGTTAGTTCAGTGCTCTTAATAGGTTTGATTCAGAAATCATTTTTAGGCGAGCATCCATTGTACTTATGCACAAAGTATAATTATATGCAGTATTTAAGTATTCTATTAGAAGGCTGTGCAGATATAGCTGAGAAATTACAATACCTGAACAAATGTCCATAGCAGAATCAAATTTTCAAGCCCTGATGAGTGTTTCCAATGATAGCAAAAGATGTCTGTCTCTTTCTCATAAATAGGATGTTTCAAAGAGCAGGAAAAGTTAGTTGGAGATACAAACATATAAATGAGATATAACAGAATGTTCTAGAAGCCATCAGTGATTGAGGTGATTAGTGTGTAAATAGAGAACTCTTGTTTCTAGGCTAAGATGGTCATATTCACTTAATAGCGAAAATTGGAGTAGGATTAGACAATAAGATACACTTTATATTGTTCCTTAGGTAAGGCTAACTTAGAATACTTATATATGTGGCCTTTAATTAATGGAAGACCCATAGCAATATATGTCTGTGCTTTCAGTTCACAAATGCCTGTGGGAGGCATTTGTGACCAAGAGGCTAGTTTCTTTTCAGTTGGCTGACTTTTATTCTCTGATACACACTAAAATGAAGGTTACCAGATCTAAAATTTCTGGCCACTAACCTGGCTAGTTTCTATTCAGATATTGATTTGCATCCTGTCATGTTTTAGGAAGTATAAAAAAACACATGGGAGGGAACCAGCAGATAGCATAATGGCTATGTTGCTGGACTCCCAAGTAGTCGTCTGTGGTTCGCGTCCCGGACTCGGTGGCTTCAAACTCACGCCAGGTGCGTGTGCATGCGTGCCCAAGATCCCGAGAGGAGAATGGAGGAGAAGGGATTGCGCCATGACCATCCCCCCTGGGGGATGATTTCTCGCTTTCTGTCTCTATGTTTCTCTCTGTCTGTCTAGTGAGCGCACGCGCCCTACAGTGAAAACCTGCGCGGCGGCCCACACAAGTGAAAACCCCTCCAAAAAAAAAAAAAAAACACATGGGAGATGAGCTTCATAGCAAGCTTGTGTTAGTTCAGTGGTTGTTCAATAGTAAAACCAACTGAAGCCAGAAGATAATATGACTTGATCATTGATCAGCAACTATTGCTGAATTAGGCTGAAATGCTGCAATTATTTACCATTCGGTTTGATGAAATGAAGGGTTTTCTGAAGGTGAGAGAAGAAACTGAAAGTGAAAACTATTTGTGTGTGTGTGTGTGTGTCTGGTAATTCAGTTTACTAAAAATGGGATGGAACAGAAATTTTCATGTGTGGTAATAGGAAATAATTCAAGTTCACACTCTGAAGAACTTATTATCCTACATTGAGAACTACATTTTTCTAAAGCTCTTTCTTCTTTTTTATGCAGCCTCTCAGAATGGAATCATTTCAGGAAGTAGAGAGTTAGTTTGAAATATGGCCTTGTTTTCTTTCCATTGGATGTGAAATTGGAGCAGCCCCTATATTACCTCAAAGTGAAATAGAGAACAATAGTGGAGAATAGAGATTGAGAATTTTTCAGGGCTCCAGACTTATCATAGTTCAGGACAAGAGATGTCAGTGGAGAGCATGTAAGAGAATGATCCATGCCAATGCTATGAGCTAGAATGGTAATGTTAATCAGTAAACCAAGATTCAGAGGTAGCTACTTAGTTTTATTTATTAGTGCAAGAAATTAAACCCAGGCTTTTGTTAAAAACAAGGTTTGAAGGGGGAGAAAGGCTTACTGATTAATTCCCAAATCACTTTTCTATTGCCTGAGCTTCCCTGGGGAGTCTAGCATGCAAAGCCTCCATTGGTTAGTGAATAATTATGCTACATCCACTTTCCTTTGGAAATGTTTAATGACTCTTGCTTTGTATTCCTTGCAGGTGAAAGCCCAACCTCTGTGGTTCTTAATGCCTCAGCAGGATTATTTTCACTAAAGATGGAAACACTGGAGTCTGAATTGACCTGTCCAATCTGCCTAGAGTTGTTTGAAGACCCCCTTCTGCTCCCTTGTGCTCATAGCCTCTGCTTCAGCTGTGCCCATCGCATCTTGGTCTCCAGCTGCAGCTCTGGTGAATCCATTGAACCCATTACTGCTTTCCAGTGTCCTACGTGCAGGTATGTTATATCGCTGAACCACCGGGGCCTGGATGGCCTCAAGAGGAATGTGACCCTGCAGAACATTATTGATCGCTTCCAGAAAGCTTCAGTCAGTGGGCCCAATTCCCCAAGTGAGAACCGCAGAGAGAGGACTTACAGGCCCAGCACCGCCATGTCTAGTGAGAGAATTTCTTGCCAGTTCTGTGAACAGGACCCACCAAGGGATGCAGTGAAAACATGCATCACCTGTGAAGTATCTTACTGTGACCGTTGCCTGCGGGCCACACACCCCAACAAGAAACCTTTCACCAGCCACCGCCTGGTGGAACCAGTGCCAGACACACACCTTCGAGGGATCACCTGCCTGGACCATGAGAATGAGAAAGTGAACATGTACTGTGTATCTGATGACCAATTGATCTGTGCCTTATGCAAACTGGTGGGGCGTCACCGTGACCATCAGGTCGCATCCCTGAATGATCGATTTGAGAAACTCAAGGTAAGGGATCTGAAGAAAATCCTTTATACAACTTTACTTTATACAACTAGTAACAAACAGTTACTAGTGTAACTTTGTTTCTTTATACAGGGTTATAGAGTTAGCAATTTTCCTAATACGAGTCACTTTTCCTATACAAGTGAGTTACTCCCAGTTGTTCTCATGAAGAATAACCTGTCCCCCTGTAAGCACTCACTGGAACCTATCTCCTCTGTTGCATAAAGCTGCTGGTATTTGTATACTTCTGGCCAATTCTGGGGAGTTAGCTATGAAGAGTTAGCCTGCCACACCAATAGTCCATTCAGGGAAATAGCATCCTCTCTCCTCTGTCAGTGACGTATTGCACATTACTTATCATTGCTGTGATCTTTCCACCTCTTCTTTTAAGTATGTGAGTACCTGTGTAGGTCTACTACAATTAACATATATGCTGATTTGCATATGTATGTGTATAGCAATGGGAAGGATGGGTGTGTCTCTGTGTAGGTGTGGGTGGGGTACTGAGTGTATCTGTGTAGGTGAGAGATTTTTGTGGAGGACATTAGTGTATGTTTGTGTTTATGTACTCAGTACACTAAGGAAACAAAAGTTTAGCTTTGTCTACTAAAATTGCTATTATGCACTCAACCCTGGGCTAACTCGAAGCCTGCCTTAAAAAAAACCACACACACACACACACAAAAGAAATCTCAGGGTACTACAAAATCTGGAGGGATAATCAAATACTCTGTAAACTAGAAATTTAAAGTAAAGGCAATAAATATTGGGTAGCTGGAAAAGTCATTACATATTTTTCTGTTTTTTTTTTAATGCAAAAAATGCACCATGACTTTTCAGATGACCCAATATTTAATCTAATATCAAATTTTTGCCAATGTTCATTTTTGTGGGCTGAAGCACTTGCATACAGTCAACATCTTGGAAGTTTTTAATCTTTCATTTGTGTTCAGTGGACATAGATTTTTGAAGTTGTTTTGCCATGCAATATTTATAAGTCTAAGAGCTTACTTTTTAAAGCCCTCCAACTTATGTTTATGTTAATAAATGTTAAATCCAGCAAATTGTTTTATGATCATTGCCTGCCTGTTGTGTAGTGTAACTTCTCTTAAAAAGGGAGCAACTTATCAGAAAAAAAAAAAAGTTTAAATGGCTAATAAAATTACCATGTCAAAATAGGGCCAAACTAGAAGTAAGACCCAGACTTACTTCTGGAGGAGGGAAAGAAGGGAACAGAGATTTTTCTCTTGTCATGTTCTGAAAGATTCATTGTAATTTATGTAAGGATTATGATGTTGGTGAGGTTAGCAGTCCTCAGAGTAGGATACATTTTCCCTTCAATAATTTATTGCAAATAATATTGAGAGTAGTCACACTGACAATGGCTTCTGCTTCTCTTGGCTATTATTTATACCTAATATTTATAAATTTATACAAAACTCAATTTTTTTTATTTCACTCAAGGTGATACTATCATTTATATCAAGGCTGCAGAGTGAAACAATTTAATTAACTTTACTTTTTAGAATTATAAAACATTGGGCCTTGGACTTGGTCTAGTTGAAACCCTACACTTCAAAGTTTTATAAACTGAGGCTTTGATAGGTTAAGTGTTTTGGTCAAAGTCAGAGAATTGGCTAGTAGTAGAAACTGGAACTGGAACTCAGCATCTAGACTGAGTTAAATATCCTTTTTAGTGTAGCCTGCTGCCATTTAGTTTTGAACCTAAGCTTCCCCCATGAAATGTGATTTGAAACTTAACTATGCTGCAGCAACTGCTTAGTTCATGGGTCATGGATAAACGATTAAAACTATCGAGGAAAAGATATATTGTATAAACTTACAGCTTTATAATGGCAAAAGATGGGGGCAGGGTTGTAGGAAGAGTGGGTTATATAGAGTACATGAGACAATCCCTGCCAAATATTTGCAGGTGTTAGGACTATAATAAGGCACTGGCCTTGACAAATATTCCAGACAGAAAAAATCTGTATCCATATGTACTGTCGAGATAACAAAAGGCTGGATAGAGGAAAGCCTGAATCTACAGAACACCAGACAGTCGAAAACATCCAAAAATGCAAAAACATTGGATGATTGATTAGATATTTGGCATTATGCTACTATAGCCCTCGTATCCAGGGATGGATGAAATACAAAATTATTTTACCAAAAGTTACTTGAGTCTGTGACTAATCAGTAATTTTTAGAAAAAGAAAGGCCAGATTTTGTATACTTTCCCTTTAATTTTTAAAGAAATGTTCATAAAATTCTGATTATAAATTAAGTGGAAACTATTTTTGCTCATTTTTGGACAGAGTGGAAACATATGAATCGCGTCCAACAGTGTGGTTTGTTATGTTGTGTGGAACATCTTGGACTTTTGGGAGGGGAGGGAGGCACTGTGTGTGTGTGTGTGTGTGTGTGTGTGTGTGTGACCATTTTGGTTTGATGCCCAGGTTAAAGGATATAAGATATTAGTTCTCCACGTTAAACAGAGAGGAAGTCTAATTTTCAGTGTTGTACTCAGTGTTTTTTTTTTTTTTTGAAGAGGTTTTTAAAAATTTTTTATTATTTTTTATTTTTATTTTTATTTTTATTTTTATTTTTTTGGAGAGGTGTTTGCTATAGGGCACATGTGCTCCTCAGAAAGTCAGAGAGAGGCATACATGGGAGTTCAGCAACATAGCCATTACGCTAACTGCTGGTCCCTATTGTAGAGTTTTATGGGCTAATTTTAAATTAGAGAAGTGTTTAGGATTATGCACTTAATTTGCTTGATTCTTCCCCCAAGAACAAAGAAAGCCAGTTAGCAAAAACTAGGGCAGAAAGTAGGGGCTGCCTAAGCATACTCTCCTGGCCGTGAGAGGAACAAGGGAGTCCTATAGGAGAAGGGAAAGGATGATAGTATACTTATTTATATACAAGGAGACTTTCAAAAGTTTGGAGAAAATGGAATGAAAGTATGAGTTTACTTTGGCGTAAAGAAAAAAACACTTTTGAAATCCACGCATAGTTTTTTCATAATATGTATTTTTCATGAACTTTTTGGAGGCCCTTCTTTATATCTAGTGCATTGACTTTCTGACCAGCAAATGATAGGGTGTTTCTTTTTATTTTTTGGTTCTTGAGCTTTACTGTTGGCATTTATAGCTTATCTTTTATATACTAAGTTCCCTGACTGAGACTAGTGCCTCTAGTATTTATTTATTCAGTGAAGAATAAACAAATCATTATGTTACAGATGAAAGGTCAGAATAACCAGAAGCTAGCCTGACTTTTTAGCATGTATTCCAAATGGATTAGAGAACATGGGATACTTAATATAGTTTCATGATTTTAAAGTAGTTGTCTAGTCTACCTATAGGATTGACATGCAGGACACATGTCCTTCATAATACTACCTTGGGTTCAGTTAATTCTTCAATTTCAAGGAATGCTTATGTTCATAGCAGTTTTTACAGTAGCAAGGCCTATCAGAGTAGGAATTCTCTGTTACTTCTTTCTTTTCACTTATTAGTCCCAATATATATCTTAGTTCATGATACATGCTTCATTTCTGTAAAACTATTTTACATTTTAGAATTTTCATTATCATATGAGTTCCTCCCTTTGTAAATGATTGATTTATTATATTGGGTTGTTGGAAAAGTCACGACGTATTTTTCTATGCAAAAATGCATCATGACTTTTCTGACTACCTAATATTAATAAATGTTGGTTTTTTAACAATAGCTCAAATTTCGGTGTCTCTCCATTGCTTGAAGACCTCTCCTTAGTAGTGTTAGTCCTGTGCAACGTAATTCTTATGCTGTGCATTTACCTTTTTTCCCT